AACTGTTGATTTGCTTTGTTATTGCTATGTTATGTTTTCTTATATTGTGTTTGTGGCTTCGGCCTGTGTAAGCCGCATCGAGTCCTTCGGGAGATGCTCGCGGGGTACAAATAAAGTTAATAATAATAATAATAATTGTTGTTGCTGTTACATTCTGTTTATTTACATTGTGTGTAGGTTACTTGTTTATTTATTTAATGTTGTCCGCCATCAAGTGAAATGATGAAAACAATGAGGATGTAAAGCACATGTTTCAAGCTGGAAGCCTGCAGGCTGAATCTGGCCACCCATGTCCTTTTTATGTGGCTCTCCTTCAAATGCCAGATTACAACTCCCATCTTCCTCCTCATTAGAAATGAAGACTGGATCTGATGGGAGTTGTGATACATTAACATCTGGAAGGATGCAGTCTGTTCTGTTGAATCAGGAGAGTTTGGTATAGATTTAAATCAGGCATGAGTAAACTTCAGCCCTCCCGGTGTTTTGGACTTCAACTCCCACAATTCCTAACAGCCAGTAGGCTGTTAGGAATTATGGAAGTTGGAGTCCAAAACATCTGGAGGGCCCAAGGTGACCTATGCCTGATTTAGAATGGCTTTAAAACATCCTTTCACCTTTCCTCAACCTCGGAGCCACAAGGGCTGTTGGATTGCCATTCCTATTATCCCCAGTCTGATTTGAAGAAAAAAAAAGTTCTGTTCCTGGTTTGAAAGTGTTCTTTCCTGTCCTTACTTTGAAAGTAGTTGTTCTCTAGAAACTTTGTTTTTTGTGGCTGCCACAAACTAGGTTGAATGGGTTGAGTGCTGGTTTTGGCCTTTAAAGCCCTAAACGGTTCTGGCCCAACTTATCTATCCGAACGTATCTCAGCCTATCAGCCCACCAGGACCCTAAGATCTTCTGGAGAGTCCCTGCTCTCTATCCCACCGGCTTCCCAAGTGCGGCTGGTGGGAACGAGAGACAGGGCCTTTTCTGTGGTGGCCCCTCGGCTTTGGAACACCCTCCCTATAGAGATACGATCAGCCTCTTCGCTGATGGTGTTTCGGAAGAGATTAAAAACATGGTTGTGTAAACAAGCATTCGGTTAGTTTGTTATCACCGAATTTTATGGACTAAGGACTGGTTAATTATGGATGACGAATTCTGGACTGTGATTTTAGTGACGAGATACATGGTATTATTATTGGTGGCCCAATAATTTGTATTGTCTATGTGTTGTTGTTTTAAATTGTATATTGTTTTTAATTGTTGTAAACCGCAATGAGTCGCCGACTTAGGCTGAGATATTAGCGGTATACAAGTGTATTAAATAAATAAATAAATAAATTCAATGATGAGATAGATGTTCATTGTAAATCTAGCAAAATGTGCTCTAGCAGGACGTCCCTCCCGCACAAACAAAGTGTTTGCAGTCTAATGAACTTTTCTGATGTGTTATGATAGAACCAATTATGAAATGATGTTTATTATAACCCAGGTCGCAGGTTCAAATCCAAGGAGTGGGGTGAGCTCCCGCTGTTAGGCCCAGCTTCTGCCAACCTAGCAGTTTGAAAACATGCAAGTGTGAGTAGATCAATAGGTACTGCTTCTGTGGGAAGATAAGGGCATTCCATGCAGTCATGCCCGTAGCCATCTACGGACAACACGGGCTCTTTGGCTTAGAAATGGCGATGACCACAAGTCGGACACGACGACTTAATGTCAAGGGGGAAACTTACCTATACAGGCAGGCCCCAAGTTATGATCAAATTGGTTCAGTAGGGTTTTTTCTTAAGATGAATTTCTATGTAAGTTAGAACAGAGACATTTTTTAAGTGCAACTCTAAACGTGTGTGTGTGTGGGTTTTTGATCACATAGAGAAGAGTCAACACCCATTTGATGTTTGTTGTGCTGTCTGTGCCCCTGTTCAGAAAACTCCCCCTTGCTTTCAATCCCTGTGAGAATGGGATTTTGGAAAATATTGCTTGTTGCGGAAACAATTATTGGCAATAAAATTTCAGTGGAGGCCCCTTTCCCCCCAGGACATCTCTTTCAGAAGTGGGTTTGCCTTCCTGGATGTAGATTATTATTTGATACAAAACAAGATTAGTACAGAGCAAACAAAATCATTATACTGACTTTTGTATTCAATCACAAGTTGGACACTTCCCAAGTGTCTAGGACTGTGTGATGAATTAGGGAATAATGCATACACATCCGAGTAGGGTGGCCTTTTGCAGCTGTTGTTGTTGTTCATTCGTTCAGTCGTCTCCGACTCTTCGTGACCTCATGGACCAGCCCACGCCAGAGCTCCCTGTCGGCCGTTACCACCCCCAGCTCCCTCAAGGTCAGTCCAGTCACTTCAAGATGCCATCCATCCATCTTGCCCGTGGTCGGCCCCTCTTCCTTTTACCTTCCACTTTCCCCAGCATAATTGTCTTCTCTAGGCTTTCCTGTCTCCTCATGATGTGGCCAAAGTACTTCAACTTTGTCTCTAGTATCTTCCCTCCAGTGAGCAGTCGGTCTTTATTTCCTGGAGGATGGACTGGTTGGATCTTCTCGCAGTCCAAGGCACTCTCAGAACTTTCCTCCAACACCACAGTTCAAAAGCATCTATCTTCCTTCGCTCAGCCTTCCCTAAGGTCCAGCTCTCACATCCGTAGGTTACTACAGGGAATACCATGGCTTTGACTAGGCGGATCTTGGTTGCCAGTCTGATGTCTCTACTCTTTACTATTTTATCGAGATTGGACATTGCTCTCCTCCCAAGAAGGAAGCGTCTTCTGATTTCCTGGCCACAGTCTGCATCTGCAGTAATCTTTGCACCTAGAAATACAAACCCTGTCACGGCCTCCACGGTTTCTCCCTCTATTTTCCAGTTGTCAATCATTCTTGTTGCCATAATCTTGGTTTTTTTGATGTTTAGCTGCAACCCAGCTTTTGCGCTTTCTTCTTTCACCTTGATTAGAAGGCTCCTCAGCTCCTCCTCGCTTTCGGCCATCAGAGTGGTGTCATCTGCATATCTGAGGTTGTTAATGTTTCTTCCAGCAATTTTCACCCCAGCCTTGCATTCCTCAAGCCCCGCACATCCTCGCATGATGTGTTCTGCATACAAGTTAAAAAGGTTGGGTGAGAGGATGCAGCCTTGCCGTACGCCTTTCCCAATCTTGAACCAGTCTGTTGTTCCATGGTCACTTCTGACTGTTGCTACTTGGTCCTTGGTCCTACTTGGTGATTTGGTCAGTGCCGATTGTTTTTAAGTGAAGGCCAAGGTCTTGAGGCACTGCACCTAGTGTGCCAATCACCACTGGGACCCCCTTGATGTCAGAGACTTTGCAGTTCAATCTTTAAATCCTCATATCGTGTCAGCTTTTCCAGTTGCTTCTCATCAATTCTGTCCCCTGGGATTGCAACATCGACAATCCATGCTTGTTTTTTTCCCGTCATTGTGAGGTCAGGAGTCTTGTGCTCCAAAAGTGTCCGTCTGAATTTGGATTTATTATTATTATTATTATTATTATTATTATTATTATTATTATTTTACTGACGCAAAAACACAGCATGTCACAGCAAATGAGAACTCTATGCTGGATTTTTTATCACAAAATCACAAGCCCAACCCATCCCAATGTATTTTCGAATGATGCGCGCAGATCCAGGTCAGGTGGCCTTTTGCAGTTGACAGATCGTGATTTTGTCGATGTTTATTGTTTCCAAATGCCGACTGAGATCTTTTGGCACGACACCCAGTGCGCCAATGACCACTGGGACCACCTGGGCTGGTTTCTGCCGTCAGAGCCTTTGCAGGTCTTGATAGCGGCTGAGTCTTTCCTGTTGTTTTTCCTCAATGTGACTCCCACCTGGTACGGCGACATCAATCATCCAGACTTTTCTCTTTTCCACAATTGTGATGTCTGGTGTATTGTGTTCCAAACCTTTGTCAGTCTGGATTCAGAAGTCCTACAGTATTTTTTGCGTGTTCATTTCCCACTCCCTTTGCAGGTTTATGATCCCTTTACCAGTTCTTGACTCCTGGCAGGTGGTCCTTGTGACATAAGTTCCAATGAAGCATTTGGGCCACAGAGTTGTGCCTCTGTTTGTACTCCATCTGTGTGATTTTCTTCCCACAGCTGGGTCCATGCTTTCATCAGCTTCCTTGCACAGTCTGCATTTTGGGTCATCCGCTGGTTTTTCAATCCTGGCCTTAATAATAATAATAATAATAATAATAATAATAATAATAATAATTTATACCCAGCTTTATCTCCCCAAAGGGGACTCTAAGCAGCTAGTAAAGGTAAAGGTTTTCCCCTGACATTAAGTCCAGTCGTGTCCGACTCTGGTGCTCATCTCCATTTCTAAGCCGAAGAGCCGGCGTTGTCCGTAGACACCTCCCAAGGTCATGTGGCCGGCATGACTGCATGCAGCGCCGTTACCTACCCGACGGAGCAGTACCTATTGATCTACTCACATTTGCATGATTTGAACCGCTAGGTTGGCAGAAGCTGGTGCTGACAGCGGGAGCACACGCTGCTCCCCAGATTCGAACCTGCGACTTGTCGATCAACAAGTTCAGCAGCTCACCATATACAAATTTAAAATATGCAAACATTAAAACTGGAGTAAACACAAAAAGGCACCAAAAATTCACAGTTAAAATGTATTTCACTCCCTGCTTTCTCAGCCCATTGGACCCTCCAGGTGTTTTGGACTTCAACTCCCACAATTCCTAACAGCCTACCGGCTGTTAGGAATTGTGGGAGTTGGAAGTCCAAAACACCTGGAGGGCCAAAGCTGACCCATGCCTACTTGATACCCTGCTTTTTCTCTCCACAAAGAAGAAATGCAATAGTAATTTTTAAAGAAGTAGAATGAACTATTCCTGACAACTACCTAACTTGTTTCCTCCCTTTTCTGCAGGTCCGGCCCCCCTCTTCCTCCTCCTCCTCCTTCTCCTCCGGCGTCCTGCTCTTCTCTGCTCTTCCGGCCGAGGGCTCTAACTGTGGCCCCCCCAGCCCTAAAG